TTCGTTATTTGAGGAGATGAAGAAAGATGGGGTTGTACCTGATGATGTTTCCTTTATTGGGTTACTTACTGCTTGTAGCCATTCGGCTTTAGTTGAGCAAGGTAAGGGATACTTTTATTCAATGACAAAGGAATTTGGGATTTCACCTAAGATAGAACACTATGGATGCATGGTTGATCTATTATGCAGAGCTGGACTTGTGCAAGAAGCATTGGATTTTGTTCAGAGAATGCCCATTAAGCCAAACCCAGTAATTTGGAGAACACTTATTACTGCTTGCCGTGCTCATGGTGAGCTGAAGCTTGGGGAAAAAATAACAAAAGAGTTGATAAAACATGAGCCTATGCATGACTCTAATTACGTACTACTTTCTAACATTTATGCAAAAATGTTTTCGTGGGAGAAGAAGACCATGATTAGGGAAGTTATGGCGAAGAAGGGAATGAGAAAGGTTCCAGGGAGCACTATGATTGAGCTATACAACGAAATCTATGAATTTGTGTCAGGAGATCAAAGTCATAGTGAGTATAAAATAATTTATCAGATGGTGGACGATATTGGAAAGGAGATTGGAAGAGCTGGATATGTTGCTTCAACATCAGAAGTGCTACTTGATATTGATGAAGAAGATAAAGAGGGTGCTGTAAATAGGCATAGCGAAAAGCTTGCTATTGCATTTGCCCTTATGAAGACACCTACTGGAACTCCTATCCGAATCGTGAAAAACTTACGAGTCTGTGAAGATTGCCACTCTGCAACTAAATTCATCTCAAAGACTTACAAGCGAGAAATATTGGTCAGGGACAGGAACCGATTTCACTGCTTCATAGATGGGGTTTGCTCATGCAAAGACTTCTGGTAGCTTAATGTGCATGACGTTGTAATCAATATCTGTCATGGCAAGCCAGGAGTTTCTTTTCATGAGCATTGATAGCTGAGCGGCTTATCCAATATGCATGATCTTCTTTAGTAAATGATGGAACTAAAAGTGAGGTGCTACAAAGGAAGATATATTTTGGAACGATCTAAATCCAGAACCTGTGAGACATTATTTTGGTTGTTGTAGGCTATGCTTCGTTTAAGCTGTATCGTTTTATCTCTGTGGAGGCATTGTTTCTGTGGAGATGTTGTTAATCATGGCATGGATGGCTTCCTTAAACATCGTCATGAAGGCAGGTATATGCTCAATTGGTTGTCTTTGACTTGTGGATGACATTAATCCTGAATAAAGGTGATGGATCATGAGGCTTCTACAATTGACGAACAAAATTAGTGCTCATAATAATAGTTGTTATAGGCGTAATAAATTTATCTCGACTCAGAAAGATGCTTTGAGAAGGGAAATCATGGAGCAACTGTAAGAGTTGTTACTCTGTGACAAGGATGTCATGGATTCAAGCCATGAAAACAACCTCTTATAGAAATATAGGTTACATACAGTGGATAAAATGTGGTCTGGCCCTTCATCGGAGCTTTGTGCTAGTGGGAGAATTTTCCATCTCCAAGGAAACGCTGGTGAAATGATGTACTTGTAAATGCTTTTGGTTCGCAAAATCTCATCGAGCTTTTCTTTTAAATTAAATGAAGGATGCAGAGACACATTTTGCTATAAAAAAAAGTGTACTGTTGTTTACTGATTATTCACTCTGCCAAATATGGGGAAAATGATTTTCTTTGAGGTTCTATGAAGAACTACTACTGTGGACTCTAATGTATTTAAACTTCCATTAGATTCGTCCATATATGAGAAATAACAATGAGCAAGAAGACAAATGGCCTAAAAGTGTACTCTAGCTCTTTACCTTATCAAACCCAGTAAAATGGTCTTTCATGCTAAGCATTCACCTTTTTCATCTGGGTGGGTGAAAGCTGGCGAATAGGGCTTGCTTCATCGGATACACAAAAGCAGGACACAGAGTTAACAATCCATCAATGTCACGCCGAAAGGTCTTAAACTCTTGAAAACTCACTTTCCAGACACCCACACGAGTCATAAAATGTAGTAGAATTCAAAATGCATAAATGGTTCAAAAATAATAAGTGACTAAGGTAGTAAATTTAGGAATAAAAGTTGACAACATTGGTAGCTTAAAAATTAACTTTATTGAAAGAATGATCACTTCAATTGCATTAAAGTGTGTTATCAGTCGGTACAAAAGAGGAAAGACATAAAAGTATCCCAATAAAGATGAGATTCCATATGGCGCATTTGTTCAAAAATTTTAACGTAAGCAACAGATAATTATTTATGAATTTTGAAATGTAAATACAGCAAAAAATACAAAAAGGGAAACCCTTAATTTTGCACTAGCTAATAATTGGGGTCAATTAGTACATATTTGCTTGTGTAGTTAGTGAAAAAATATAATCTCTAATTCGCGAAATCTGCTACATATTGCTCTTTTTCACTAATGACTTCATTTTGAAAGTCAATTTGTGTATATTATCACGGGTCTCCGCAAACTCGTAAGACCACGTATGGGGGCTAACGCCTGCTCAGTGCCGGAAGGTCAAGGAAGTTGGTGACTTGATTAAACTATAACATAATACTTGACAATTAGTTGTACTATTAAGCATAGTCTAAGACAAAAACAGCTAGCTCATAATTATTTAAATTAACGAAGATTAAATTTCATAAGTGATCATATAATTATATTTTATTTTCACTAAAGTGAAAACTTATAAAATTTTCGCTTTGCTAATACAAAAGTTTGCGTTATCGAAAAATTCAACTTTCTGATGAATGGTATCTTTTACTCTATGTTTTAAATTTTAAATAATAATAATAATAATCTAATAAAAT